CCGCGCTACGTTTTGCAATGCATTGCTTCGATTTCCATCTACTAATCCTAGGACGTCGTAAGTAGCAAGCTGACGATCGATCTTAGTTTAGCGGAATGATTGTTGCGTTGGGATTTTTTGCAGGGTAGTCGACTTTCTAAACTTTCTCATATCTTTCTAGTTGGCCTTGATCGAGTTTTGTTAGCATGACTTGACCATCAGGACTCAAAGGTGGTCTGTGAAATCACCAAACTGATTAGACCATTATAATGATGCTTCGATTTTAAATTTAGGTAATCTTGAAGCAGTCTCACAGCATGATCGGTTATAAAAGCTCGAAAACTGGAAACATCACAAACGAGAGATTCAGCTGGGTTCCAAATGAGTGTGCTTTGCTAATTTCGTGCAATTTGGTTTCAAGTAGGACATAAGGTTGACGGAAACCCGGGGACTGTACCTACATGATGAGCCTCAAGTAGGGCGAAAGCGGTCGTGGGCTGTCGAGGAATTTTCAGCAACCTTATGAATAGTACATTACAAAGACAAATGTATCGCGATACCTCGAATATCGTGGCGACTGAAACATGAGGCGGCCTGGTGCAGCACATTCATTTGCCTGGAAACAGTACAAACGAGAGATTCAGCTGGGTTCCTTGTGAGCCTCTCGGAAAACCAAATGAGTTTGCAAATGAGTGTATTTCGCTAAGGTCGAAAACTCCTTTTGATGGGAAGAAATTGGGATTAATTGGCCACATTGAATCACTGTCTTCTCTATACACCGTGACTTGCATTTTCAAAAAGTGATTACGTTGACGGCTCTATGAACCTGTTCAGTAAATTCTCAGTTCTTGGAGGTAAACCGCCTTCCAAAAGGCGGTTGGATAAGATCTCTTCCTCAGGCTCCAACGTTGTGAAAGTCGATGAGGATTTGATTTGCTCGACTCATACTTCTGCTGAATTCTGGTGTATTCATGACTTAAAAGTAGTTGAACTCAAGATTACATGTGAACAGTTGATTCAAGACATCCTCAGGGCATATGGAAGTTGAATTGACCGTTGGTAGCGAAATACACTCATTTGCAAATTGGGTTGGTACTAAGGCGAAACTCAGCTTCACCCTAGCTGGACCATACATCAAGAGAGTTATTCAGCTAATATTCTGATGGGTTTTGTGTTGACGCTGACGCAATCTGAAAATCCGTGTGTATTTCACAAATCGCATACAATGTAGGTTCCTATGGAACCCTTAGGTTGACGGAAACCCAAGGAGTGCGCCTTGGGTCCTAAAAGAAGCGATACCGCTGACAAAGATCTGCAGCGAGAACTGAGAGCTATTTCACGTAGGCATGCATGACTGTGGGCAGAGCAAATGAAAACCAAGAACGGACTTGCAAATTTTTCAAGTAGAAATGCGTGGGTGGGATCTACTGATATCAACAGACGGCACCCCAGAAAATGTTTTTTTTGTTCGCTGATTTTGAAGTAAACAGATGTTAAAGCAATGTGGTCTGAGTTGGACTCGGGAAGGCTGTTTTCAGACAATAATATATTGATTAGTACCTTTTAAATTACTAGGTAGTGTACAAAGAAGCCACCGTTTCTTTCGTAGTTAACGTGAAAATAGTAAGCAGACGCCATGTGGCAATCCTTCCCCTGAATGCGATTACTCTTAGTAGTCAATGAACAAAATTACGCAATGGGTGCGTTTGGCGACCACCAAGATAGTTGCCGTAAGGGTTGGAACAGCCATTAGTCGATCTACACAAGCCATTTGACCATCAATGTCCCCTACGTTCGATAAAAGACCGTAACTTCTGCAAAGTATTTTTAGGAACATTCCTATATCTTGCGTTTTGTTGACTTTTCGGCAGCGTTTTTGGGTGGTGTCTGAGTCAAACGTAAAGAAGCTCCCCACAAAAATGGACTGCACTGATAAATTGGAAACCATTGAGCGAAGCTCCTGCGACCGATTTTGAGTTATAAACTATCAAGTCTTTGTAAAAATTAACCAGTTGAGCTTAGTGCATGGTTATGAAATAGTTGAATTTGTCTTACAATGCTTGGTCACCGTGAATTGGTGAGGTCGTCCCATTGTTCTTCGAGAAATTCTCCCCTCGGATCCTTACGTCTACACAACAAAAAATAGTGCAATAGTTTAATTTGTCTTACAATGCTTGGTCACCGTGAATTGGTGAGGTCGTCCCATTGTTCTTCGAGAAATTCTCCCCTCGGATCCTTACGTCTACACAACAAAAAATAGTGCACTCGGAAACATGTAAAATAACCAAAGAATACTGTGTCAGATGAACCGAAAAAGCTTACCCTGAGTTCATGGTGCCCAAGTTCGAACCCCACCTTTCTCACGCACTTACTCAGCAACATCTGATGTTTGCATGTCAATTGAAGGCGCCTCCGTAAGTGTCTGAAACCAAGACATCATCCACTTGCACGACGTGAACATCCATCAGAACAGTACAACATCTTGTACTGTACAACATGTAGGTTGGTAATACCTCTTGAAATGGATTTGAGAGAATCATTGGTCAGACACCCCTCGGAGGACTTCTGTAAAGTCAGACGTGTTTCGAATTTGTGGTCATTCCGGTGTATTTGACCCGTGTTCTCCTTATAAATCATTCCGGTATCCCAGCCAAGGCCATTTTTAACGTACCGTTTATCCGTTGGTCCGTGAATCCCACTACGAAATGCGATCGAGTGGAAAGTAGCAACTACCATATCACACGATCCTTGAAATGCCAAAGTAAAAAAGATCTTGAAGGACAGTTACGTCACTACATGCACATCCAGTACAAGTCTTGGGGGTAGAGCACCGATGCATTCCAGGTACATACAATACATAACGTATAATTTTAGAGACCAGCTGAAGTACATGCACTGGTATAACTCAAATGAAACAATCAAATGGAGTGACCAACCAGAGTAATGTTTGAATCCCAGTCGTGACTCGTGACCTTCGGGTGCAGTCCAGTGGCGGACGGCTACTGAGCAACGTTTGGTGGACGCAACGTGCACTTTTCGAAGGCGGCCCTGTGCCACACCAGAGCAAGTTCGAGACAAGCTCCTTTCGCTTGAAGATTGACAAGAATGGAACCGGTGAATCGGGCTTGCTCCTTTGAGAAGTCACTCTTAAGATGATCACAGGTTGAACAAACAGCCGATAACGCGATATACTATGCAGTGATTTTTAGCACAAGAAAGGTCAAGAAAACACTCCCGAAGGACGAAAAATAGTCACCCTGATTATAAGTGTACTGTTTTCACAGATATCTGCGAAAAACGATATTTCGAGATCTTAAGAGTCAATCACAAAGAACCGAATGGTAAAGTGGGTCCCAAATTGGATTTTATGAACAAAAAATATGGCTCGGCGCCATGTTTTTCGAATATTTTGCATAGTTCCGGGTATACTAGCTCTTGTGTATGAAGCCTGGCAAAACATAACACTTACCTTAGAGCTGAGGGAAAAAGTGTCCTAAAGAGCAACATGGCTGGCCATGTTCAACGAGGCTCTAGGGTTCTCCCCAATTCGAGACCCTGCAAAGGAGTTCAGGAGATTTCAGACCAAATACTCAAGAGTCACAATCGTTCATCGAATGCTGCAGGTAGCCCTGACTTAACAGTTCCTGTAGAAGTGCGAGTTATTCATCTTTGTTCTGATATTCCATATCACGCCAGTTAGTTTAAACATGTTTAGTAGTCGCGCCATCTTGTGCTTGTGGATGGACCAGCAATCGCCATCATCATCCTCATCCTCATCATCATCATCATCATCATCATCATCCTCATCATCATTATCATCATCATCATCATCATCATCATCATTATCATCATCATCATCATCATCATCATCATTATCATCATCATCATCATCATCATCATCATCTTCATCATCATCATCATCAACATCAATGAGCATTGACAGCAATACTGGTGCTTAAATGCAACACACTTATGAGAAAGTAAGCCCTCGTAAAGAGTGGAAAGTAAGTGGAATGGCGGGAACTTGTTACCAACAGCCCAATGTCTCTGTGAAGACTGAACAAGAAAGACATACATACATCCTGAAACAGCAGCGAAGTTAACGCATCTGCGCACCAGTTCGAAGTAAGACGGTATCCGTTGGACGGACCAAACATCCTTTGCGCGCCTTCGTTGACATGGACCCACCGTACAGGCAAACTTTGGTTGAAGCGAGAAACGGCCCCACGATGTAACGTGTGGGGTTTCTGACCACGTGCAAGGTGAATCACCCGGACTCCAACCAGAAGAGTGTGAAGATCCCAGCAGCTGACTTTATTTTCGCGTTGCCAAGTCCCCCACAGACTCTTCGGCAGCAAGAGTTTGGAGTTGAAAACAGTACTTTCTTTGATGGGAGATAGTCGAATATGCCTGGCAGGTGCCCGAACAACCTTGAACTTGTTACTTGTCACGTCTTCTGGTACCTCTCCAAGTACTCGCTTACGCACCAACTCATTGTTTGGACCCTCTGCAGTCCGCTAACACCTGCTATGCTGCGAACGAACCGATGATCAAACTTTCTCAGATCCGGGTAGCCAAGTTTCACAACTGCTTCAGCTTCACAGAGATTCGCTTCTCGCCACAAATGATGTAATTTTGCAAATATGGTTCGCACCTTTATAGTGGCATGATGACGATTGCTTTCGTCACACTACCGGACCAGTCACACATTTTGAATATGTTGACGACAAACAGCCGCCACGAAGCCAACTCACATTGAATAGCCCAAACGTATGGCTTTCTCAGACCAATGAACATTTTGTGGCGTATCAAATCGCCCATTTGAACTTTATTGGTGTCAGTCTATTCCCTCCAAATATCTTCATCCCTTCCAGGATTTTCATCCCCTCCATGCCCGTTCAAACACCTTTTGTCCGCCTACACAAAACAGCTGTAAGTACGGTGCAAACTGTGTTCAAATGCCTGCGCGCTTGAGCCCACGGTGTAAGTCAGTGAGAGCTGAGCCGAATCTGACAGACGTGTGTTTCGAGTGACTCATGTCCTGATCGATATCCTGTCCAAGCGAGCAATCTTATGGTGACGCACCCATTAACGACAATCAATCGCAGAACAAATAAAAAAATTGCACACATAACACGGTAGAGCAAGCAGCATAATTATGAAGCGAAAGGTTAGAACTGTAGATGATGGTACTATAAAACGGTAGAAATCTTATTTCAACGGTTCAAGGTTCCCTAGCATTCCGCCGACCCATACAGTTTTTAAAATTCTGTGTCCATGAAGGTCATTCTTCAGTTTTTGGGCTGAAATTTTGAAAACAAAATGCCAGATACGGCAGATGCATGCTATAAAACGAACCGATCGGGTGCCAGCATTGACGACCGCGACGCAGCACAAATCGCAAACGGACCAGTAAAATGGCGAGCAGACCAAGCTAACTAAGTCAATCACAGAGATATTAACTGCTTTTCAACTACTCTTTACCCAACCAACAGCGTACTGAGAATGTCCTTTCGATTGGTGACATGCGCTAATAAGCGAATTTCCGAGTTCGGTGAAAAGATCAACAATCATCTGAATAACATCTAAGATGAAAGATCATTAATGTTGTGACCTCTGCGGAATACGAGCGAGCAATAGGGCTAAAAGCACGCTAGGGAACCTGACCAAAAGGCTCAAAAACTCAAGACATTTGGCTGCTCGGCAAAACGTTCACCGTGATTTTCATTCTGTTGAACGAAGGTTCAACATGCTATTAGTGGCTACGACGTCTTTGTATCAAAGTGCAAATTTACCGGGTTATTGGGTGAAAATTGACCACTTGTGTTTGATCGCTTGAAGATTTTTTTAACAGTTAAGTCTACCGTGGCACAGACAACCTCTTTGAGGACGTCAAACGAAGACGAAAAATGTAGCATGCAGTCTGAAAGAACCGTCATCCATCACGTCAGTATGTCGGTGCTTTTTCGCAGAAGTAATGACGAAACAATGTTTACCGTGGAGTCATTAATTTCTTCAAAAAATTTCGATGCGTCATTTCGACAGAGATTTGTTCAAACTGCGATGAATTTGAAAGTAGTAGGTCGGCTTCTCACGTTAAAAATTAACAGAAGTTACGTCAGTATGTTGACGGCCAAGAATAGGTAGATTTAAGTCGCAGAGTCAAGCGGAAATCAACAAGATAACCAAGGATATGTTAGCGGGATAACATCAGCTCAACAGGCAGGATTTCATACTGTCTCCGTACTACTTTTCATTGGGGCATACGCTCAATTTTTTGGGTCCACTTCTTGTGATAAAGCACGTTCAAAATTCTATTTACCCACATATATGATAGTCAGTCGGTGCACACTCCAAGGATGAAATTCTCCTATCTTGTGCCCTTTTGATCTTTCGTAATTACGTTAACTATAGCCTTTGGAGTGTTGAATTCCGGAACTACGGTACACCACTTTCAGGATCCAGTTCTTCGCAAACCTTGCAAAAAGCAAGTACAAATGAAACCTGACTTACGAGTCGCACTTTGGTCGCTTTGAAACCAACGCCGTCCTTCGAAAGCCAGCAGCTGCTCGGCATGAACAGTTCGGTGAATAAATTACCCAATCCCGCTGTTCTGGTTTCGCAGTGCGTTCTGTAACCCTCCGCATTTCTGCAGCTGTAGGTCCGAATAGGTCTTCACTGTTTGCTTGGACAGCCCAAATCAATATCTTTCGTGGTGTTGGAAAGTGATATTTTCAAGCTGGTGGAATGTCGTCGGGCTCGTTCACTTTGCCACCGGTTTTTTACCATTTTAAGATATTGAACTTTCGGTCTGTGGATTTCTTGCAGTCCGAAAAAGGATTATTTGGACAGCGGCGACCCGCGCACGTCTAGAGGTAATCACTTCATTTGGCTCGCTATTCATTTTTTTCGACTTCAGGTGTTTCATATGGACGGCTCTTCCAAACTATTCTCAGGCCTCTGTAATTGTCGATCATTTAATCAGAGCATATATCGATGAGCCGTCTTCATAAAGCCAACCTCTCTTCATTTCTTGTTTTGGTCTAGTTCTATCTACAGTAGCAACTTGGATACGTGTTCACATACGGATACATTTGACTCCGTGTATGGCCTCTGCATTACAGCCTCGCAAAACTGTGAAGCAGTTTCCTAGTTCTTCATCAAGCTTGAATGAGGTTCCTCCTGATCCACTAATCAGCACTTTTCCGAGTACAGTAACTACTTTTTCAAGCATCAAAGAGTTATCTGTACCCCACCCAACAGTGCGCATCACATTCGTGATTATTACCGAAGACGGAAACTTCATTGGGAAGATTGATCTTCGACTTTCCGACAATCCTGAAGGCTACACTGGTAGATGCTTTTTTCCCTAGATTCTACCATTCCAGGGGGTCGACTGGTAGGCAGTCAGACTAAGAACGGCAAGTCCGAGCATTTGTCATGAGAGCTGGTGCGAAGTAAACTTGTGCTGTTCTCTGCGACAGGAATGCGAACAGAACAAGCCAGTACTCACACGCTACTAAGGTTTCTATATTTATGAGAAACTGTGGTGCCGCGTTCCCCTGAGGAAGAAAGGATCAGAGAAGGTCGGTCTTGAAAATTACGTATTCCAGTCGTCCCATGGTTGATTGTGGTCGTCAGAGTAGGCTGCTATCCAGCTACTATGCGGAGCAGCATCAATAGCCAGGTATTTAGGCCTTATTTCTCATCCTCCGGCTAGAAATGTTAAAAATTATTCGCAGTAGGCTGAAGAATGGACCTCGAGATCGGGGACGGGGAAATTCTGCAGTTGTGAGAGCTCACAAGTCTGAAAGACTATAATGTTGGTTAGAGATCTTGACAAAGTCCCTTCTGCACTAAATAGCACTGAGGCCTGGCGCATCCGAACATTCGAACGCATTCGCGTGATTCGTAACATTTGCAAAAGTTCCCGGACGACCCTACTCACTGCGATCTTTACACCTTCATCGCGAGTATATAACCTTTAAACGACAGATTCATCTGGGTTCAAGGTGAGCCAACCGTCAAAACCAACTTGGCATGCAGATGAGTGTATACATATAACCTTCAGGGTACCTTAACAAGGTTAAGGTACTCACTACTCAGTCATATCTTGCTTCTGCCTCAAGCATTATGCCGACAAAGTTACGTTTGAATCATTTTCAATCCCACAGACCAGTTCGTGCAAATTCATATGATTCAACGAACAGTCTCAGACTTTGTTTCTGCGGGTTTCGCGTATTTTACCTAACCCTGCTGTGTTCATATCACACAACATCATGGCTGTCTGCTCCCTTTCCTCGACACTGTCAAACACTCCTCGAATCCTTCCTTAGCAGAATAAGAGATGAAAGCTCCATTGTCGCTCAAGTTCAGTAATTTTGTGCCAAACAACGCGGCTACAGAAAATTCTACTGGTCGGTTTACTGAACTCCGGTGTGTACGCTTTCTGAAAGGGAATAGTTAAAGTACAAAATGTGGTCCTTCGGGTCTGGATTTATGCTGAACAGAGTGGCTGGAAAAACAACACAAATTTGGAATGGTCCATCACCTTTATCGAACGAACTGGTATCCGTCCCATGTGACTACTGTTCACGATGAAGTGAGCAAACATGCTTGGCTACTTTTCTCGTCTGCATGAGTTTTCGCGTTGTGCAGCCTGTCTTGGTAGTCCCCTCCCAGACACAGTGCAAGTACAGTTTCCTCACGCCACAGCATCAAGTCTCAGTTATGGTCTTGATGGCAGGAGATTGGTGAGCTGATATCCCTCTAAAGTATGCTGTTGTTGAGCGAAATACACTCAGCTGCAAACAAATTTGGTTTTGTGAGAGACTCACCTGGAACACACCTGGGTCTCTGGTTTGTGATGTTCAAGTAGAACATAAGGTTGACGGAAACTCGGAGACTGCGCCTAATTGATGAGCACCAAGAACGGCGAAACCGGTCTTGGGCTGTCGAAGAATTTTCATCAACCTTAGGAGTAGTGTATTACGTCCATAGTCAGTTGTTTTTTTTCTCAATCCAAGTACGGGAATGCCAGACTACCGTTGGCGGTTATAGCCACCCACGGATGCTGATAGAAAACTTTTATTTGAACCGGATTTCTGTCTTTTCAGATTCGTTTTACGCTCAACTCTGCCGCTATATGAACTGCATTTCAAATGTACCAGCTTGTGGTTTGCACCTCTCAACTGTGGACAATGCCATCGTCCCTTAATGTATACCCAATCAACGTCAGCTACGCCTACTCCAGTTTTGGGTAGTCACTTCGCATACGGGAAATGTTCGAGTAGATCAGTGCGTAAAGTTCTAGTTGCTTATGTGAAGCAAGGCGAGCAGTTAAAAAAATTTTGAACGTTAATCCACGCACAATTCAATTATTGTACTGGACTCAAAACCATCACCTCTTGTTTTCCCCCCTACAAGATACGCATTCGAATGCTTTTTGGGAAGCTGGGGGTACCAACGTTTGATCTGCTGCAAAATTCACACGACAGACTCGTTAATGGTACTAGTAGACGTTAACCGTTTATCCATCAGGAAGAGGTGTGGCCGAGCAATGTGAATTCAAGTTCCGAAGGTTCAGTTCGGAGTGTGCGTGCAGTCATTCTGTGTTAGTCGAGTGCTTGCCAGTCAGTTCGTCATCTCCACATCCTGATGTCAAAAATTAACAGTCAACACGTGCTGGTTCCAGCTGATTATTTTCTTATATCCACTAATACCTTTGAAATCTGCACGTCAAAATTACTTCTGAACAGAATTACAATAGGTCCATCTTTTAAATCCCTTGTTTGCAACGCCTAATTTGATCAAAATGATGCTCCAGTCGATTTCTGCAAGCTTTCTTAAAACTAAACCCTCTACGTGGCTGTGTGTAGCATTCAGTCGTTTTTCTATTGGACTTTTCAACTTTATTTCCAACGAAACGTTACCATAAAAGATGCTGCCATTCCCCAAGTAAAAACAGGGTGGAAAAGGGGGCCCTGAAAGTCGCACTCTCCGACTGCCCAACGGTTAACCGTGACCGCTGGCGCATTATCCGATACTGTTGAACTACCTTTAAAATTAAAGAGTCCATTGCTGTTCCAAATGTTGTGGGCAGCTTCACTGGACGTAAGACAGCCATGCCTTACTCCCTGCGTCCCCCGGCCAGGCTGGCTCCCTACAACCAAATATTGTCAGAGTATTGAGTCATCTGCTTCGGGGATGGTCCATACCCTCTCCTCGCCCATCGAAAGATGCACTGCGATCAACCCGTCTACTAGTCACTAGTCACTACTCCGTGTTGCCCAGAAAAATAAACCCGAAACAATCACTTACCCAAAAGGTCTGATCCACATTGAGGCTCTAATGACTATACTCTATGTCGAATTGGGCAACGGGCATCTTTTGCTGAAACCTTTCTTTACCTCTTTTTTTATGTATGGTGTGTCTCCGAAACACGCATCAGGACCCCACTTCGGTGGTAAAACTCAAGCCGTTTTAAGTGAGCTCAATTTTTCCACATTTGACTCTTCGGGTATCCAATGATCCTGACGCAGAGGCTCGTGGTTTCTTTGGTGTGGCAGTTGCAACCAGCCCCAATGTTGAAGACACCTAATTGGACTGAATTTCAGCAAACAGTCGTCTTTGAGTCGTGCAGTTGTCTAACTCGCTTAGGATCAGTGCAGCTGGATGCGGTAGACGGTGGTTATTTGTTGTATTGGTATACACCGCGATAGACTGCGTGTCTATAGCTGAGAATAACTGAGTTTGTCAACATCTATCAAGACCACTTTGGTCAGCAAGAAAGACGGATATAGTAATTCTGTCGTGTGATATGAATGCCAAAATTGGGCGATCAAGCTCAGAAGAAGCACATTTATGTGGCTGAATTGGAGTGCAACTAATGCTGAGCGCACGGATAATCAAGATCGGTTTCTTCAGTTGTGTGCACATCCTCGTTTGCTTTTGATCAGAAAAAACTTATAACACAAACGCTCACATCGAATTACGTGGAGACCGGCAACCGAAAGACAGACGGACTCTGTTGGACCATGTGACAATCGTTCACCAATGGAGAATTTCAATGAAGAATTGTTGTCCTTTCTTGATTACTCAACGTAACGCTGATTATGCCATTGAGCGAGCTCGGTGACCACTTCGCTTCCCGTCAGCGTTATGCGTGCCAAAGGAGAACAGCTCCGTTCATCGGCATCAACAAATTTCAGTAGCGCAAGAGTATCGAGCTGATTTGGATAGAATGCTACTGAAAACGCAGTCACGCAAATGACGAAGATTGCTTGGAGGCGAGTTAAAGACGCTGTGCTTACGCCTTTCAGAACCGTTTGTCCAAGCAATCTGACTAGACCATATGGACACTTTATATCATCGAGATCGGCATTTCTTTTTCCTGCAGGAAATATCACACCAGCAGCTAGCGATAGATGGACTGATCACGCTTCATAGGTTGCGCTGGCTTGGCCACGTGTTGCGTATGCCAGTCGACCGACTTCCTCGAAGGGCTCTTTTCGCACAACCATGTGAAGGGTGGAGGAGAGTCAGAGGCGGTCAACCAATGACTTAGCAGCGAAGTATGAAAGCCATTACCAGCAAACTTAGCTGCTCTGGTCATTGCCGTCTTCCTGGATGTGGACCCCGAGACGGGCTACATCAATGGCTAGAGACATTGTCAGATACGGCCCAGTCGCGCCCTCAATGGCGCTCGTGCATCAAAGCTATTGCCTTCAATGCATAGCTCCTTTTCCAAACCCCTCACTATTTGACAGCCCACTGACAGTGCTGGGTTTATGCACCAATTTATCAGCTCCCGCCTGCAACGCACAGCTACGTACCCCTCCCCCAAACCATCGGTGAACGAAACTGTGGCAGCTACAACTACAGTACGACGAGTACGCGGTTATTACAGCTGACAATGATGATGATGATGAACTAGCGACTGTGATGTAAATCCCGCAAACACCTGATAACGAGGAGCCTGAATAATAATAAAGAACGCTGGTGGATATCGAAGGCCCAGGAAATGTAGAAGGCTTCCATGGCAGGTGAGAGCCGCACTCTATTTCAGCTGATTCAATCAACCGGTCGAAGGAATGCAAGTGTCGGCGGAAAAATATGCAAAAAAGATGAAACTGAAATTCACTGACAATCATGATCTTGAGTGACTGGATGAGCACTTCAGATTGTCTTCTTTAGTAAAAATGCAATAAAAACTCAGCGAGACTGCATGAAACTTCGCCATCATCAAGAGAAATCTAGTGTGGGATATCAATCCTCAAGCGCTGATGATCTGCAACCTGTACTCTCCAAAGAAGGTAGCGAGGATTTAACGAACAGTCTTGGAATCCTATTGCAGGGGAATGCCAGTTCAATGGAGCTCCTCTACCATCCTCTCAGCCTTCAATAATGGCGTCAGAAAGTCATGCAAAAGCTGTCTTGGCATCACTCAGGTATCCGTCGCACCTAAGGTGTTCTCTGGTTCTTGGCATCACTCAGGTATCCGTCGCATCTAAGGTGTTCTCTGGCATCAGTTCGCGTAGCTTGATCAGTTATCTGGAAATTTGTGGAGTTCCAGCTGTGTTTTGCCCTGACCAAAGGTAAATCAACTACATCTTCACTTTAAGACAAATTATTGAACAGCTGTAATCCTTGAGATAGCCCCTGTTTGTTGTTTTTCTTGATGTCAAATCTACTTTTGACTCTGTCGATCGTCAGAAAATTTGACGGTGTCTGGCAATCAAGAGTATTGCTTCCAAATTTCATCTTTTATGAGGGTATCATATGCCTCTCCGGGACTCAACTCACCAATGGTTAACGACGCTTGCAGAAATGGCCCAATCACGCAGTCAGTGGCGCTCGTGCACCAAAGCTATCACCTTCAGTGAGTATTTACCCAATTTTCAAACCAACTGGACATGTCATCACCTCCGAGGCTTGGCTGTATGCTCACGCTTTTACGCTCTCCAGTGATCAAAGCTGTAGTAACTGGAACCAATGAGCCCGTGGCACATGGTATATGGCTGATAAATTGACTGGCCTTCTTCAAGTACACCTCAAGGCGCTTTAAAGGTACCGTACAACACACCAGCCACTCTCACTTCTGTCAGCTTTGATAGCTAAAAATCAAGTCATACACTCAAAGATACAGAAGAAAATTGTGGTTCACACGATCAAGAGTTTCATATAGTTTGTTTGAAGGCTGCCAGTTTTGCTGCAGAGGTGATAGCTGGAGATAAGGAGTGTATTTTCCACCTACATAAAACAGATTGTAAGTAGTGACCACAAATGATGTGGCTGTTGTTATGGGATTATTAACCTGCATCCATGGAGGTTGATCGTAGCAGCGACAGAAGTCAGCTGGTAGTAACTCTAGTTGTGGCGTTCTGGGATTCGGAACCTTCGGTAGGCAGGCACGTTGATGTGGCGGTTGTTATGGGATTATTAACCTGCTTCCATAGGGGTTGGTCGTAGCAGCAACAGAAGTCAGCTGGTAGTACCTCTAGTTGTGGCGTTCTGGGATTCGGAACCTTCGGTAGGCACCTGGTTGGAAGTTGAGGGCAGCTAACCACTTCTTGCAAGAAAGTCACTGAGAATCACGTTCGTGACTTTTCTTCTACCTTGTTTCAGCTACCTATGGTTGAGCTTTAGCTAAAGATGTGGTCTAAAGCGAGTTATAATCAGAATACTGCCACCCAATTTTGCAAAGTTGGTTGTTGGTCTGTTCAAGGAGCTCTGCAGTTAGCCTGAGAGCCAATCCTAAAAATACCATCAGCGGATCGGTTACGAAACACCTTCAAGATAGCTGTCAGGCTCAATGTATAGACCAAAAAAGAAACAGCACAGTCGAGCTACGCATAATTTTCAAAATCACCAAGTGGTTCGTGTGCCTGATGTAGGAGCCTGGGTTGCTTGTTGGTAGT